TTTCTGAGAAGTACATAAAAAGTAGACTAAAAGTATACTTTCCTATTTTTAGTTTAAAAAAGTATACTAATAGCACACTTGAATAAACTTCTTTTTCGTAAGGGTGAATCCGAATACTGAAGTCCTTGATGATGATAGAAGGTGAAAAAAATCCAATCGTCCGATAGCAAGAGTATCACAACCAATCGGCAATCCGAGCTTCCATAAAACATAAAGAGCGTTGCAATTCTTTGATGTTGATTTGTCCCAACGACGAGCACAGATTGAGTTATTTCTTAGTCCATTGATGAGGCATTCAGGATAAAGAAGAAAACAAAAAGAGTTCTTCTACAAAACAAACAAACAACTAGTATTAGCATTTAACAACAGCCCATAATTTCACCACTAGTTAACTATTTACAAAGTAAGTGCAAAGTTACACGGCACAAAATAAACTGATACACTTACATGATTGTACATGACTCGGGTCTTTTATTTATTTATTTATTTATTTTCACGTCCGTAGCCTATTTCCCAAATCTAAAATAGCCTATAAAACACGTTCATAGACGGATACTTTTCTGATGTCTGGACTCTGTTTGGGATTTAGAAAAACATAAAGAGATGGTTCAATATATTGGTAATGAATACATTCTGTGAGAGTTTATAGTTCAGGTTTTGACTGCGAATGTCACGTCAGTAACGCTGGAATTGCCCAATAATGAAACTAAAAATGAGTAGGCCTACATCAAGTCTTGGGGACCGTTTCTTATTACTGCAACATATTTTAACATTTGTATTGACGAAACGACTGCAGCGTAAAAAAATTAAAAAAACACCACGATCCGGGATTTGAACCTGTGTCGCAGAAATCACTGACTAGCTTCTAGTCAAGTCAAGTCAAGTCACCTTTATTTATATAGCGCTTTTAACAATACAGATTGTGTCAAAGCAACTGAACAGCATTAATTAGGAAAATAGTGTGTCAATAATGCAAAATTGACAATAGTAAACACAAACCATTCTACCACTGGACCATGGCTTAACTTGATAAGCATTGTGTGTCTGCGCACGCAAGACAGACGCGCTCTTCATTCATCTCCCTTCGCAATTATAGAAATAACTGGCATCATGCAGATAATTCTTGTGTGTTTATTATAGTGTTCAAATGCTGATCTTATATGGGCCTAATATATATATTTTTTTTTCATAATGAACTGGACTGCCAGTGAGCACGCTGCTTTCTGATGCTGCTTTTGATGAATAGCCTACAGCTAAACTGACTTATAGCACCGATGATAATAGCACCGTTTATTTTTCAACCTCACATAAAAATGATTAACGGAACAAAAACACCTTTTTGCCGTAATAACAACTACGACTTTTTTAAGTCGTTTACAAAAGCACAGAGTTTTGTTGATATTGTGAGTGCACACAAAAATAAGGGTGCACCATTTACAGTGCCGAATGAAATATTAGTCTTATCTGTATGAGCAAAAATGACGGCGTATTTCAAGTTTTTTCCACTGTTATGAAGAACAGAATGAAGTGATCGCGCTGGCGCCTCCGTGCATTAATAAGCACGCTTCAGCTTCCACTCTCCGCACAAACGCTTAGATATACGCCTAACAGAGCACTTTTAAATGTTTAAACTAACATTGTAATTGCTTTAAGTGTTTTATATCTAGATATAGATTTTATTTTAAGCAAGTCGTGATGATTTGAGAAGGCTAAATTGATCAAACGTGATCAACTCGGCTGTCTGCCGCTATCCCGTTTTAATTCATACAAAGGAAGGATAAAAAGTGATCAATTTTTCACTTAATGTTCGGCACGTCATACGGGAATAAAATGTGTTTAAAAAAGGCCAGATAACGAGTAAGTATGTGTGACCTGCTGAAAAACATCAGCGAATTATGAAATGTAAGTTTCAAGCCTTTCATAATTTGTGACATTAATGTGACTATAGTGCCAAAATACGTGTTAGAACTAGGCCTAGCCTATAACACGCAACAATAAACCACCTTTTCAATCGTTTTATTGTTTTATGGCATAATGCACACCGCCTTAAATGTAATCTAAACATTCCAAGTTAATAACCTACTTTTTGTACGATTTCTAGTTTTCCATGTCGCAGTTTTAGCCTATTATTCTTGATTTCTCACATTTTGTTCAAGGTTTTTTATATTTTTTTATGTTGTGAGTCGGAGTAAATTGCGACACGAATAAAGTCTCATGAACGTGCAGCCTTGTACAGAGGACCAACGGCCGAGGTCAGGATTTTTCGTTCAAAAACTTTCATTAGGCTGAAATGAAAGCCCCTTAATACAACATAAGAAAATTGTGTAGTTTTAATGGTTTTCATAATGACTGTTTAATAACAACATGCAGTAAGAGCCTTTGTGTAAATGTATTTATTTATTAATTTGTGATGCGTTAGGCTGCAGCCTATGACTATCCCACGTTTTGAAATCAACTTTCTAAAAATTAATTTTAAATCAATTTTCTAAAGATTTTTAAGGATGTTATAATGTAACATGTTATTGTTGTTTTATTTCGTTATTTGATCTCCGTTTACAAAACAAAATATAATTCCAGTCAGTTTGCAAACTGTCCCTTTGCGCCACCTGGCGGTAGTTTCGTGAACGACTTTAACACGCGACTGACTTGCAGTTAACGCCGTGGCCCTGCGGCGGCCGTACACGCGGCGCTAGTAGTCATTTTGGTTGTCCACCTACTGTATAGGTGAACGTGATTTCACCGACCACATAGATATTGGTTTACTATTTACACTATTTCAAGATATCATTGATATTTTTGTGTGTAACCAACACTATTAGACACACTTGTACTTATTGCCATGTTCTATAAGATCCTTTGAAGGAAACTAGTCTTCTTAATATATATATATATTTCCGGGGGGAAAAAAATGTTGAAAGACATTCACATGATTGTAACTTATTTCTTATGAGGAAGTAACACAAACTTAAAAATCCAGTGCATGTTTGTCTGTGTTCATGAAAGTCATGCATGTCTGGAGTTTCAAAACCGGTTTAACTTGATTGTTGTAAATGTACAGCTTTGAAGCTTGTAGTCTTGGGGAGCTTTTGGGGGGAACTATGGGGAAGTTTTGATCACATCACATCCAAAACTTCCCCATAGTTTCATCAATCAGCAATCTGGTGATAGATGCTGGTGTGATACTGTGACCTAGAGGTCGTAAATACAAATGACAGTCCTTAATGAAGCACAAACACTTCTGACTATTCTGAATTTTGTCAGGGAAACAGCTCATACATTTTTATAAACTTTATATAAGTTAAAATTAAACTAGCCAAATTAAAAGCCACCCAATGGGCTGTCATTAACATATTCAAAAAGTTAGATAAAGTAACATCAAGAAAGTTTCATCAGTCTGATTCTTACATATTTAATCTGATTCCAATTTCAAATAATCACTAAATTCATACTGTGTTTCTTATTAGGAGCTAATCACAAATATTGGTTATGTATTCATGTTGATACTTAATTATTTTGAG